CCTCCATAATCTGACGAATTTGGGGTTATTAAACTAGGGTCTGGGGACTGCAAGGTGTACAAAATGTATTGTGACAGTGACAAACAAAAAACAAATATGCTTATAATTTTGTGTCTTCAGCAGCCAGTCTTCAGTTTCACATGATCCTCCAGAAATAATTCTAATATAATAATTAGTTCTCAAGAAACATTTTATATTGTTATGCTGCTTAATATTTTTTATGTAAACAAAATATTTTCTGATGAATAGAAAGTTAAAAAGAATAGCATTTCAAATGGAAATCTTTTGTTACATTATAAATGTCTTTCACTTTTGTTCAATTATTTTGTTCAAGTGTATAAACATAATTTTTTGAAACATAAATATTCAAATATTCATCTCCTCCTTTGCAATTTACTTATGTTCAAGAATAGTTTATTTGTGTTTTATCTATACAGTATAGTGAGTTTTTTCTCCTTGCTGTCGCATTGTGGAAATTATTTATTATAAAAAGTTATAAAAACGTTTTTATTATCTCTCATCTCTTTATATTCAGTAGAAAAAATATATACTATTCATTTAATACTACCGTAAGTAAACATTTTCATGCATCAATGAATCGTGCACAATGAGAGCAGGAAACTTACATTATACCTCAGCTGTTTTAATTATTTCTGTAATAATGCATGTTAATTTTTTAATATTTTGTAGGAAAACAGTTCAGATGCACTGAGTGTGACTTCACTGCTGCACTGAGACCGCATCTCCTTCGTCACATGGAGCAACATGCCTCTTTCAAAGTAACACCACAAAAGGCTTCTTTCTATTTCTGTTCTATGTTGTTATGTGTCCTACAACCATCACCAAACCACAATGTTTTGCCTTTCACAGCCTTTCCGTTGTGCACACTGCCACTACTCGTGCAACATTTCAGGCTCACTGAAAAGACACTATAACAAGAAACATCCCAACGCACAGTACGTCAATGCTGGAACGGGGGCGTCCACTTCTGAAACTGTCACAGAGCAAGGCAAGTCCTTCCTCATCAGAAATTACCTTATCTAAGATATACATTGTTGCTTATTATTAGACATACAATATTGCCTCAAACTGCTTCAATAATTAAAAAGTGTGTGTGTGTGTGTGTGTGTGTCAGGTGGAGTCAAATGTCCTGTGTGCAATTATGTTTATGGCACTAAATGGGAAATGAACAGACACCTGAAGAGCAAACATGGCCTCAAAGTGGTGGAGGCTGACAGTCTGGGTATGAATCAGTGGGAGGTGAGTCTTCATTACAATTACATGACATGTTAAATTTAGTAAAGTGAAGTCATATTTATTAATAAAATGCATAAACAACAATAGAAGTCCCACAGTACTGTACAATAACATTTAATCATGAATAAAATCAAATTTAAATTCTGTCATCATTTTACTCAACTGCATGTCATAGTCATACCAAACCCATATTAACTCAAATTAAAGGGATGGTTCACCCAAAAATTCTGTCATCATTTACTCACCTTCAAGTTGTTCCAAACATGTATGAATTTCTTTCTTCTGCTGAACACAAAAGAAGATATTTTGAAGAATGTTGGTAATCAAATAGTTAATGGGCTTCATTGACTTCCATAGTATGAAAAAAATATGGGGGGACATTCTTCAAAATATCTTCTTGAGGGTCAGAATTTTCATTTTTGGGTGAACTATCCCTTTAAGTTATTTTTAATGAAACCTGAGAGGTTTCTGTCCCTCCATTGAAAGTCTAGGTAACCAAAACTTAGAAGATACAAAAAGATTATAATGGCGTCGTAAATTGAATCCATATGAATCGAGCGATTTAATCCAAGTCTTGTGAATAGATCCGATCTTTATATGATGAACAGGTTTAAGTTAGGCCTTTATTTACAATCTAAACAATGATCGACACACATACATAGAGCACACCACATATGGTAAACATGAAGCTCTAACGTGTGTGTGATGCACAAGAACCAATGAGATTTGTCATAGCGCGTAACGCACACACGATCTTCCGTGTTTGCCTTATGTGATGTGCTCTATGTATGTATTTATATGTGAATAAAAGCCTAAATTAAATCTGTTCATCATATAAAACACATATAAGTCATATCTCTTCAGAAGACTTGGATTAAATCAGTGGAGGGACAGATATACCTCAGGTTTCATTAAAAATATATTCATTTGTGTTTCGAAGATTATGGGTGTGGAACTACATGTGGGTGAGTAAATGATGACAGAATAATAATTAAATACATATTTAAAAGTTTAGCAAAAAAAGGCAAATTATTGGAGCCGAGCCACTTAAATTCTTTGACTCTGACATTCATAATACAGTTTCTTACTGATAAACTGGTGAATGCTTGTTAAATTGCCTTAATTCATGACATTCCTAGCATTCGAATGAAATGCCACTGGACTTGATTCGGATGTTATCGGTGTGTTCGTTCAGGTGGTGGAGTCAGTAGAGGAGCCGGCCATGCAGTACCTTCATATAGCCGAGACCGAGGATCCTCAAGGAACTGAGACTGCTGTATCCGCTCTGCAGGATCTGCGCTTTAATACACATAATGGTCAGAAACTGTTGCTTCATTTCTGGAACAATGGTTTCATTTCTTTAAAGTTCATTTCTAAACTCAACTTTTGCGTTCAGGTGTTGTGTCTGCGGCGGCGGGAGACAGACTAGACCCGGCATCTGTTAACATCCTCCAGCAGATCATTGAACTGGGCTCAGAGAATCATGATGGCACTGTGGCTTCAGTGGTTGCCATGGCTCCCGGTACAGTTACTGTTGTAGAGCAGGTATGTTTAATATGCACATTCATGTACTGACAGAGCTGCTGTTGTGAAATTCAAGCGTTTTCCCAAACTATTTATTGAGATGATTTATTGATATATCATCTATCAATTTATTGAGATCACAAATATATCACTCTCTGCCATATGATTGTTGATTATTGCTTAAGATTTGTAATGTTTATTGTCTTGGTATCACTTTTATGGACACAGTAATGCCCCTACCTTATAACATTATAATATTGTGTTATGCGATATGTATACTGTATGAATTTAAAGGGGTCAAAAAAATAGGCAACTGATCAAAAGTTTGGGGTCAGTTCAATTGTTTTTTTTTTAACAATTTTTAAAAATACTTTATAGGACTCATTAAGTTTTTCAAAAGTGACAGTGAAGTCATTTATTGTTACAAAAGATTGATATTTTAAATAAATGTTGTTCTTTTAAACATTCTATTAATCAAACCATCCTGAAAAAATGGATCAGTTTCCAGAAAAATATTAAGCAGCACAATATTGTGAATATTGATAATAGTAAATGTTTCTTGAGGACCAAATCAGCATATTAGAATCCAAATCATCATATTTGAATGATTTCTGAAGGATCATGTGACACTGAAGACTGGAGTAATGATGCTGAAAATGTAGCTTTACCATCACAGGAATAAATTACACTTGAAAATATATTCAAATAGCAAACTGTTCTTTTAAATTGGAATAATATTTCACAATATTACTAATTCACAGCATTTTTTTTATCAAATGAATGCAACCTTGGTGAGCATAAGTCTTTTTCAAAAACATTTGAAAAATCTTACCGGCTTCAAACTTTTCAATGTTAATGTGCATGTTTTATTTTTTTCCCTGAGGTTTACATAATTTTTTTTTTTTTTAAAGATCAACCTAAACTGTATTTTTTTTAGTTTTCTCTTTGACCCTTAGAATTAAACAGTCTAATATTTGCTACAAGAATTTTTTTATGCTGAAATGCATAAAACCTAATAAACCTTTAAAGTCAGACTAAAATGTTCAGGGACCTTGTAAAAAATAGACTTCAGCTGGTAATTTCTAATATTGTATTTAATTAATCATCCCGTATGAATCATTGACGTGTGAAGGTGGACAGTCATGTTAAATTGACATCAGGCATTTTTGCCATTTCATTTTCAATAAATGCTCTTTTTGGACTTTGATTTCAGAAAGTTATGGCGTGTTTTCATTCTCTAGTAGCTTTTCTCAGTCTCAATGAGAGAAAACTGGACTCTTCATGAAAGCAGATCATTTAATGATAACAATGTTCTGTCCCATCATCCTAGATGGAGGAGGAGGAGCCACAGACCAATCATGCCATGATGATCCAGGATGCACTTCAGCAGGCCACAGTGGGCCTGGGAGAAGAGCACCATCTAGTGGTGTCCTCAGATGATATGGAGGGCATTAAAACTGTTACAGTGTACACTCAGGGTGAAGACGCATCCCAGTTCATAGTCTACGTCCAGGAAGCAGTTCAGGAGGCTGTGCAAACTGAGGAGACCACCACAGAATAGAGAATATAAAGATCATGCATAAAGGGTTTTAAAACTACTAGCTGCCTAAGTGTTTATTCCCTTTTGTTATAGTTTCTCCTGTCTTGAACAGACTATTGCAGTCATACCTATAGTTTATAGGGACCCATCTCGCACAATTGTAAATAATCTGTAATGAACAGTAGCAATGAAGTCATAGCGGTGTGCTTTCCTGACTGGGAGAAAAAAAGGTCTTTAGTTTTTGTAAAGATCATGACACCTATTCACAGTAGATAAACCTCGTCACATGTGAAGCAGAAGCTATTTTATAAATAATTTTTCCCCCTGTACTGCCACTGCCTGCAAGAGTTAATGTGTGACTCTGACCTTCTACACACTTTTTATATACGACTCCCATACAGTGTATGGCTATCACAATAGTAAACTTGAGCTATTTAATGCGTGGTGTTGTGTATTATTGACACACTTCATTGAATAATTTCATAACTGTGAGTTTAAAAAACTCACTTTAAAGCTGTGTACCAATACAGCATCACTTACACTACCGTTTGAAAGTTTAAGGTCTGCTATATAACCATTTACTGGTTTTAATTGTATTTTAACTGCTTTACCTTGAAGATGATCATTCCTACCTTCTGTATTACATAGGAACACCACTGAAAAAAAAAAAATCAACTGATCACCTGTCAAAATATACACGTTTACTTTTTTTCCAAAGCTTGAATATTTTTATTTTACAGACCACACTAAACAGCATAACATTGCAAGTGACCAAAAGATCTGATTTCAGTGTCTCCTGTCTTCCTCTTCCATCAGCTCGGAGAGCTGGCTATCCACCCGGCTGTCCTCGTCACTGTCCTGCTCCTCTTTATCCTCTTTTTGAAGGCTTCTGGACAAGAGGAAATCCTTAGGAGTGATGTCATCGTCCTTCATCCATTTAGATTTCTGTTTCTTTTTCTCTACGAGTTTCTGCTTCCTAATATCTGCTAGTGTATCCAGCTGTGCTTGTGTTAGTCCTCCTGCAGCAGGACTCTGTGTGAGAGAGTCTCTCGCCCCCTTCTCTCGTTTATAGGCTTCAATCTGTTTGTGCAGAGCATCGTGATCGACACCAAACAAAACGGGTCTTTTCTTGTCTCCAGATTCTATGGGCTGCAGTTTGGCCCTTTAAAAGATCAAACCAATTAGAAATCCATTAATTTATTTTTTTAAAAAGAAAAAGGTTTTAATAGAACTAAATTCTTCTTACCCGATATCGCTGACGGATAAATGTAAATTATTTTCATCTGGACCAAAATCTGCTTTCTTGAGAAGGTTTTCAATCTGATTAAGGATCGGACAATAACACACACACAGATATTAGCTACACCATCTACAAAACTCATGCACTGCTAATATATGAATATTAATTATTTATATTACTTTTTATATGTTATCTGTTACCTCAGTGATAGCAGCATATTGTTTATCTCTGATGAAAATCACAGGAGGAACACTACCAAGGATTTGGTGAGAAATGAGAAGATGCCTGAAAAATTATATTAAAAACCAAATGATAACATTACCTTCAACTTGTTAAAACAAACGTAAATTAAACTACGAAAAAGACATACCGTATGCGAGGAGCACATTTGTCTAAAGCCTGCTGAATATGGCTGTCTTGCTCTGCCGACAGACTTGTCTTCCAGTATATTCGACATGCAGAGAAATCGGGTGGTAGTGAAACCTTACATGGACAAGGAGACATAGTTTAGGGCAGAACTGAAAACAACATTTTTGAAGAAATTAAACGTGTAAATAATTAAAGAGAATTTTAAAATCTGTCATTCCAAAACTGTATTACTTTTTTTTTTTATCTTCTGTGGAACATAAAAGATATTTTGAAAAATGTTTTTTTCTCCTTCCCATACAATGGAGATCAAGGTTAACTATTGTATTACTGACATTCTTCAAAGTATCTTTTGTATTCCAAAAGAAAGTCATACAGGTTTAAAATGACATGAAGGTGAGTAAATGGTGTAAGATCGTTCATTTTGGTGTAAATTATCCCTTTAATTATTGAACATATGAGGTATAATTAAAGTGATAGTTCACCCAAAAATGAAAATCCTGTCATCATTTACTCACCCTCAAGTTATTCCAAACCTGTATGAATGTCTTTGTTCTGCTGAAAACAAAAGAAGATGTTTTGAAGAATGTCAGTAACCAAACAGTTGTGTGGGCACCATTGAATGGAAAAAGTATGGAAAAAAATACTATTTTTAGTCAATGGTGCCAAATACTGTTTGGTTACCCATATTCTTCAAAATGTCTTATTTTGTGTTCAACAGAAGAAACTCATACAGGGTTGGAACCACTTGAGGGTGAGTAAATGATGACAGAATTTTCATTTTTGGGTGAGCTATCCTTTTAATGATGACACGGAAGTTAGAAGGAAGAGCACATCCTACTTTGGAAATCTGTATATTGTAGGCACTGATCTCGGAGTTGACCTCATAGGAGCTCAGTAAGTCTGTCACTGCTTTATAGATGATGTTGTTCAGAGTCCTCACACGAACACTGTCCTCTTTATTTCGCTTTGATGGTTTCAGAAAGCCAGGCTGAAGCGCTGTGGCCTAGGTGAGCAAAATATGCAAAAGACAAACATGGTATTGTAAGAGATTGTGTAGTGTACAGTCATTCTGCTTACAGAGTAAACGCAGCTTTATAGTTAACTTTTAATATATATTTTTTAAAGTATACAATACCGAAAACGAAAATAATGAAGTAATAGTGAAGTAATTGAAAAGTAGTATATATTTGGAAGAATTCTTACCTGCACAGGAGATTCATACCACTGTTTTCTCCTGTAAAGAACGACCATGTAACTCATGCAACTTTATAGTCAGAATTGGCGAAACTTTTTTATTTTGTATTTATCAATTATACAAAACAGCGACTCACTTCTTTTTGGCCAGCATCTTCATCAATTTACTACCTCCAGACAGACGGGTTGAACTATGAATGCTTCTTTCTTTAAGCATAACAGACCAGGACGAGCGCTGTGTCTCGTGTCGTGCTGTCATTTTACAGAACATGCTTGTTAGTGAGGTATATCGACTTAATGCCCATTCTTTATAGCAAAGAACTCTCTTGACAGCCAGCATGATCACTAGTTTGATTTATCCTTGTCCTCACGCAGCATCGACTACATTTGTCTGAAGGCGAAGGGTAAGGCAAGGGTGAAGTAATTGATCCAGATGGAGTCGATCGACGACGCTGACAGATTGCACGTATGACGTCAATTTGTAGGTGCATCAGTGCCCGCCTATTTTGCACATAGACGATTTTGCAGCGGCCTTGGTTCTGGAAGGGTTTTTAAGATTTTTTGTTTTTTAAGAAGTCTTTGTTTGCGAGTTATAGTCTATTTTTTTTTCATTCTATGTTTATAGTCTATGCCATGAACCAAATCAACAAGCTACGAGGTGAAAAAACATCACAAACTTTGATTTGAAGCTGTGAGGAGGTGGAGATTGGTAGTGCATCACCATGGATTCCATTGTTGATGAATATGATTATTAAAAAAAAAAAAAAAAAAGTTTAAATAATGCAGACTGATGGCTTTAAATTTTTTTTAAAAAAAAAGCATACCATTGATTAGCAATCTTATTGCTTATTGTCTTTCTTGAAATTTATAAGTTTTAAAAACAATTCCCCCAAGGAGAAAATGAATGGGATTTTTACTTCCATAACTCAACTGTTATGGTTCCCACAATAGTTTCTCATAGGTATTTATATGTTTTTCAAATATGAATTTTGAAGCATGTGTTTTTAATAATTTAAGTATCCGTTTATGAACTATAATGGTTATAATGGCAGATTCCTCTACATTTACATCCTTGTGATAGGTGTTTTTTTTATATAGTGACTTTTTAGCAACTTTCTTTTTTAGATAATAAATAAAAAAATCAGTTTATGTCATGACTATGTAATATACATTATGTGTAGCAATAATTGACCAATTGAATAAATAAAATACCTATATATATATATATATATATATATATATAATTGATAAAATATGGACATTAATGACATTAGGAAAATCCTACTTGTTGAATCGCAAAGAATTTTATATTTAGTAAACCACACATCTGTAATATTTAGTCACGTTTATTCCAAGAGGCAAATACAACTGCAAACTTTAAATAGGACACGGAGGCACTTGTCTTTTTTCACATGTCTGAAATGATTACAGTGTATTATATGAAAGAGAAAAAACATGAAAACACCATAAAGTGTTCCTTTTGGTGATACAGTTATGAAATGCTGTCTAATTTGCCAGTTAGTAGTAATAATTAGCCAAGCCTTCATTTTCTTTACGGTTCTAATATAAAATGTTAAATGCAGAACTATTTCACTAGACATCCCCAAATGTATAGTACAAGTGTCCAAAAAAGTATGATTTTAATATAAATGGGAAACTGGGTCTTTTCTTTCTTGCAATAAAGATATGTAATAAAAGAAACTTTTAAACATCATCATCATATGAACTATATACAACAAAAATACAAAACTGTAGAGTGTAGAGTCTTTCAGCATTGCTGTAGGTTCCCCTTTTTCCATAGACTAATGCCAAGAGGCAAACCATCTTATAAATGTGTAAATCAAGTAATTTTAAATAAACAGTTTGCAATGGTTTACATCCTAGTGTGAACATGCTGAATACAAACACAATTTATCAAACAAACATGTTTAGCTATTTTTACAGAGGCCGTACCTCTGGAATGAAGAGGTCATGTTCCATTTCATTCACATCCTCTTTTTTAACAGTTACCTCATGGATGAAGAGGTCATGTCCCACTTCATTCACGTCCTCGTCCTCTTTTTTAATAGTTACCTCTTGGATGAAGAGGTCATGTTTAATTTCATTCACGTCCTCCATTTTAACAGTTACCTCTGGAACAAGGCTGTCATGTTTCACCACTTCCGCATCTTTTTTTTTAACAGGCTTTGCCTCCGGAATGAAGAGGTTGTGCTTCACCTTGTTCACTTCAATCATTTTGAACCCGAGACGTACACAAACCCTCTTCTTCTGAATTGCTTTCAAGCACTTGGTGAGCTTGCTGTTAAAGTGAGCCTTTACATCAGCCTTGTTTATCCACAAACGGGAAGCGAGCAGTTCGATTTCGGTCTTCGTCACGTATGGCTTTCTGTGGAAGTACTGTGAAAGGAAGTCTTTTCTGTCCTCGAACGATGTCCTCTCCATCCCCATTGGTTCCAAGACGAGTTCAACTGGAGTTTTAGGGACTTCTACCTTTGGAACTCTCGAGTTCCTTCTCCTGTTCTTCGGAGTGGTTACTTCTCTCTTTGGCTTGGCAAATTCAAGACCCCCCTGAAAAGCTGTGTCTGAAGTACTGGCCATCTGAACAGAACTACATAAATCACCATCAAGGTGTTCCGTTGTATCTGGATTCAGCTTCCTCTCTGCTTCCTTGACCGCTTTGGGAGCACAACGACACCGTTGCACATGAATGGAGATGGTTTTCGGTGTCGATTTTTCGGCATACACCCCAAAACAATATATGCATTTGTAAGCAGGTGTTTTTAGTATGGCATGAATGGTGGGAACGATGTGGTGTTTTGTTTGAAGATGGAGCTCGTAGTCTTCAGAGTTCTGGAGCTTTACTTGACAAAATGGGCAGGCGGTGGGTGGCACCTTCAACGCGGTTGCGTATTCGGCCTTGTCTGGATACATTTTTATGAATAGCTTATCCTGAGTGCTGGTGACCAGTGCGAGGTTAAGCTCGCGGTTGTCAAGAAGATCTTTGGGCACATCTGTGTTCAGATTGAAAGTGTTGAACATGAGATTGCCTTTGTCGTCACAGTCAAGATTAAACTGTTCTTTTATGAAATGCCGGTTTTCCTTGATTTTCAGACTGTGATCTTTATTGGTGTGCTCCATGATCTGCTTGAAGGAGTAGAACATCTGAGGGCAGAACAGACACTTCAAGCCATGCAACAAATGCTGGAAAATCCCCTGTTCTGTCAGTAAAATCTTGCACCTCAGGCACTTGACAGTGTGGTGGTCATGTTTCTTCAAAAACGGCGCGATTACAGCCAGCTCATTTGGTGTCGAATTTCTATTTATCGCCCTCTGAATTGTAGGCATGAGACCTGCGGGCACCACCGCTGAGTTTGAAGGCTGGCTGATCTGGTTTTGCGCCAATACCATTTGAGCGGGACCACCGTGGACAGGAACGGTGACTTGAACGGGTGCTAGAGTGTATGTTGGAACACCATTGACATTGTTGCCTGTGGGAATGAGACGCACAGACTGCGAGGCTACGAGAGGAGCTCTGGGAACTGACTGGTTCAGCTGAAGACCTTGAGTATAAAGAAATGGTGAATGAACACCCATTTCGCCCGGGAGGTTGACCTGGATGCCAGGCGGAAGAAGAACCTGCTGTGCTTGCTGGGTTTGTGGTAGCCTGGGAATGGACATAGTGATGGGTACCGTGTTGGGTGCACTTTGCGGCATGTTTGGCATCACCATATTACCTGGAGAGGTAGGCAGGACTTGCGGCATCCCGCTGGGGGACTGCTGATGCTGGGCATTCTGAAGCGCAGCCAAAGTCGTGCCCGACAGTAAAGCTTGCGTTTGTGGGGACAGAAACATCTGTCCTGCACCAGGAGAGCAAAACAAAGCTGCTGCGTTACTTGGGCCAGCCAGAAGAACCGTACCGTTTCCATTTGTATGTTGCATCTGCTGGCCCATGTAATTCGGTCTTGCAAGTAACGTGACCTGGTGCATCGCTTTTGGAGCAAGGCTCAGCAGATTCTGCAATCCGGTCATTTGATTCATGCAGTCTTTTTCGATTATACAAGGCATTATTTGCCAGTGCAGGTCCTTGTGCTTCTCTGAACTTAAAATGTGATAAAGTAAATGTTCAATGGTCTCTGCTGGCAGTTTGCACACTTTGCAATGATATTTCATTGGTGCGCCATCACGTATCTGCACACCACCAGACTTTTGCGTACTGTCCGACCCGAGCCCGAAGAAGCGATCCAGCATAGTAGCATAGTGGTTTACCAAGACGTGTTTCTTCATCACGTATAGTAAAGAGTCATGATAGCCGCAGGTTGCACACGTGTATCTGTCATCGGCGGCATCAGCTGAGACTGTAACTGACACAGTTTTCGGTGCGTGAGCCAAAGTATGGCTGGGGTTGCTTTGGAGAGATATACGATGGGCTTTTGATGGCAGCATGTGGAAAAACTGAATGTGTTGCTCTGTGACTTTCGGAGAGCTGACAAATGGGCAGTAGGGGCACATTAACAAACAGGCCACGTTCAGATCTTTACAGTGACAGCGATGGATGTGACTTCTGAACGTGGGTACTGACCGGCTGGAGTACCAACACAGACTGCAGCACAGAGCTTGGCTCCGGTATGGATACTGAGGGACAAAAATAATATCATGATTAATATATCTTGAAATTATGTTTATCAATAGTTTGTGCAGCGTAAAAAATATTCGTCCCATTCAAACTGAAAAGTAAAATTGCTACCTTAAATTATTTATTAAAATAAAAGTGGTGCCAAATGTATTTAAAGAGATGGAAACAACTATGTTTTTATAACATCACAAACAATTAAAACATTTTTACAGTGCATAACAGATGTTAATGCAAATCACCTTTTTTTTCTTTTTTCCAACATGACCATCAGTGAAATCATCCCATTCCGTGTTGTCAAAACTTGCTTCACCAGCATCAAAACATTTATATGTCTGTTGGAAACAAAGAAAATTTCATTAACAGGCATAATGATATTCGTGGAAAGAAACGCTGATAATGTGTAAAAAAATAAAATAAAGACAACATACAAAAAATAAAATAGTTTAGGATGCAACATGTGAATTTAGGCAACTGAAAGTATAAAAGACACATAATTCATTTTTAAAAATGAAGTTTACAATTGCTGTCATATAGAAATCAATCTAAAAGTAAATATAAGCAGAAATGTGCATGCAGAATTAAATATTCAATATCAATTGAGACTGATATCAAAATCACTAATATCAACCGATAATCAATATATTATGCATTTTATTTTTTAACTTGTTCTGGTAAAACGACAGTAATATACGCCAGATTTCTCCAATCGTCGCTTTAATCGCTTATAATCGACTGCAAGCTCACATTCAGTTTCAATACGGAAGAAATTAGCTGCTTCTTCCGTTACATTCTAACTTCAATAATAAATTTGGAAAATTAGAAATGGTCAGTTTTTGTCGATATCTTTTGTAATTTGTAAGGCTCTTTGAAATAACTAAATGATTTTGTGAAGTGAGTGACACTGAACTGTAATGCAGTTAAGATCTAGAATTACTTCATATAAGTTAGTGCAGTTAACAACATCAACATCCGTGAGCCAATAAAAACCATGCATTCAACAGATCATTGGTATACAAAACATCATTACTTCAATGATCTACCTCCATTAAATCTTGGCACTGCTGCTTCCCGATGTCACACAAAATACTTTTGACGCGTTTCCTTGGTCGTCTGAGTTTTGTAAGGTTCTTCACTGGAATTTGATACATTTTGCTGATCCTGCAAATGAAAACAAAAATAACACGAAATGTTTCTGAACAGCCTGTCAGTGTCAAATCAATGTGCATTAGCCTAACGTTACTCTTTCAAACGCCAAATTACATTTTGCGTCAATCTAATGTAGATTAAAGAGACATCTAAATGAACCTCAATTATTGAGGCCTATAACATAGTTATAATAAAAATAACTAGTTGTTGTAACCATGTAAGGTCTGTTTTTATTTAAACCAGTCTCGGACATGTCATTAAAATTGTTTGACCTAGTCGTGCCTTTTAAGTAGTACGGAACATGTCACACAATGACACATGTCATTCATAATCCGAACTGTATTTTAGGGTCTATCATAAACCTGTGTCTACCTTTAATATTCTGGCACAGAGCTGCGATTGAGTGGATGGATGTCTGCGTGCGTGCGTCCGTTTTCTTCCGGCGTCACTGGAAGGCGCGCAGTATGGAATCGGCTACTTCATATTATGAAGCATCCAGGTTGCGCTCAATCCGCGTTCCTTACTGCACTGATGATCGTCTGGTGAAATATGAACCGAGCGCAGGATTAGCCCACTTTTGATTATATCTCACTAAAACATCACCCCACTCCTGCTGAAAAACATGGCGCACAGGAAGACGGGAAGTGACGTTTTCTGATTTACATATTGCATAGTGCAGAACCACCAATGGGAGAAAGGTGGGCTGCTCTTACAAAGTTGATCAATGTAATGGCCATTAGTTATTAGAATTAACCATAGGACCATGGCTGTGGTCTTCACCTGTGAGTGATGTTGGCACACCTGTGGTACATCACCTTCAGAGATGCTTTTATGGGGAGATGGATTGATGGATTCAAGTATGACATTATGATGAATGATGAGAAGGAAATGGGAGTTTTACTTGCTGTCTGCAATATGCAGTGGCTACCTGTTGCATGTAGCTATAGGTGGTTTGTTGCATCAGTGCTGATGTCACCACAGCAAGTATAATTTAAAACTTTTCATACCAGGAACATATGGCTGTCACTAAAGGAACTGGGATAATGTTTTATGGGTCTCTCCACTGGGCCCAGATAATGCATGATATACAAGGACCTAAATGGGCCCCCATATGGTCACATGGCCTGGGGCATTCCTTTAGTTTGAGAGTAAATTTAAAAACACAGAAACGTCATACTCATGTACGCTAAAAAAGTATGTTCACTGTTGTGAGTCTTACTGAATACAATGGAAGTCAATGGCAAACGTCAACTGTTTGATTACCAACATTCTTCAAAATATCTTCTTTTGTGTTCGGCAGAAGAAATAAATTCATACAGGTTTGGAACAACTTGAGTGAGTAAATGACACATTCGTTGGGGTGTATATAATTATTAAATTCTATAATCATTTACTCACCCTCAAGTCGTTCCAAACCTTTATGACTTTCTTTATTCTGTGGAGCATGAAGATGAGAAATGTCTCAGTGTTTGTTTGTGTTTGTTTTTCATTCGATGGACCAAAACTGTCTGATTACAAACATTCTTCAAAATATATTTGTGTGTGTGTGTGTGTGTGTGTGTGTGTGTTCAGTAGAAGAAAAGAAAGGGGTAAAGGTTTGGAAAGACAGAGTAGGTAAATAATGACAGACTTTTCATAACTATCCCTTTAATTTACCAGAGTTGTTTCAATGAAATCAAAAGTATTGTCAGCTTTACTTGACAAATGTTGTTCTGTCAATGTGAAACAGCCAAACTGATAAAAACAATGCAGGAAGTCCCTTAATGCACCATTGTTGATATGAGAAACTGAAGACCAAGATCAACATGATTATGAGTCAGCATGGAAGATTCAACTTTTTCCACAGCTTATATTGATTGTATTTTTCATGGAAGTTTTTGGAATCTTGGAAAATGGGTGTATGTGATGCTTGTGGGGACCTTGTGTTGTCAGCAGCTGCTGTCAACCTGTAGCTCTCTCGCTTCGGAAAGCTAAGGTTTCTCCTGAAAATGTGTTAGTGAGGCCAGCAGGGGGAGCTGCTCATCCTGTGCTCTGTGTGGGTCCCAGAACCCAGATACAACGATAATGCTATACTGTAAAAAGATACACTTGAGATGTTGTAAAACACTGTTTTTTTATATAGTTGTTTGTGTTGTATACATATTTGTTTACTTAATAATTAACTAAGTTAAATCTAATTTGATCATGTTGATTTGCAATATTCAAAGACATTCAGACTTTCTCCTCCAAAAATGATATTTGCTGCTTGTTCAATTTCCTTAATTAAAATGAGCTAATACAACACAATTCTTGAACAAACTTTATTTTGTTGTGAGAAATCCACTTTATAGAAATCTGCTGTGTGGTTTCTTAATAAGAAATTGCTATTATAATTACCTTTAAGAAACTGTGTGCGGAAAAAAAACAATAATAATGTATGCATGTTGTGTGATAATAGCAATTAACTGTAAGAGATTCAATAGTGTTAGTTTAACATGTAATTTAAATTTATTTAATACATGTATTGTGTTTATTATTATTTGAGAAGGCTTTAGTTTAATTAATTGTAAAATTCATTTTCAATGCATTTTATTAATGGTAGGGTAGGCAATTTTTGTAGAGGCTAGCAATAGCAAGTTAGCTTTGAAAGCATGAGATCACACCGTCTCTTCAGAGTGTCTCCAAAGCCAATCCTTCAAAACACATGAACGCACACAGCAGAGTTTGCAAAGCGTCACGAGACGAGAGACTGCGTTAAACTACATCATGTCTTAAAGCATATAACATTACAATAATAATGAACATAAATTAAAAAACACACCCCTGTACCACCTGACTGCTGCAGATTCATTTCAGCGTTGATAGTGTTGCCATTAAAATGCATGAATTCGAGTCACAAACCGTATATTTAAGTATAACTCTTGAGTATTCAGGCCGAATGCAATGATTGGACGAACATTTTGTGGTCCTACGCCTTCCACAGACGATATATATATAGTCCTATATATAAATACATTTAGACCACTTAACTAAGTGATTGCTATCAGGATGTGAAGAGACTTTAAACCAGCATAATAAAAACTGCTTCTGGAGCAAATCGGCTACCCTGCCTTTAGCACAGTTCGCCCAAAAAAATAAAATTCTGTCATCGTTTACTCATCCTAATGTTGTTCCAAATCTGTATGATTTTATTTCCTCTGTGGAACATAAAATACATTTTTTTTGAGAATTTAATGGCCAATGGTCACCAAAACGTTTGGTCACCAAGATTTTAAAAAAAAAATCTTATGTTCTACAGAAGAAAGAAAATCATACAGGTTTGGAAAGACATAAAGGTGAGTCCAAGATGACAGATTCTTTTTATTTTTATGGTGAACTAAAAAGAAAAAACAACAACATTTTTGATGATGTATAACAAAAAAGATCCTTTTAACATAGAATCTATAGTAATCTTTAGAGTTATCAGTAAAAACTTGCAAGACATGCAAGTATAGCACGTACGTGACATGCAAAAGTAGTCATTTATAACTTGTAGTGCAGAGTATAGCATGGGTGGTGTCGTTTCAGAAGGTTTATCTTTTACAAAATGACAACAATTCCATCTTCCTCCATTGCCCCCTGGGGCAACAGTAAATGACGACTCAGATCAACATGCCACGTGTTGAGAATGTCATGGGTACTGCAGCTTTCCTGTCTGATGGCCGGCTTAAAGCCATAATGCTGCTTGGCCCTCAGATTCCTGTGAAGAGGGAGGCTGTGGTCAGTGTGAGCTGTGTAGGTGAGGCAAGGCTGGGAGTGATAGGACGCTGCCGAAATGAGCGAGTTGGGCCGTCTGGCAGAAACTTGAGGCCGGTAGGAAGTATTAACATGTGGTTGAGAAGAATGAGAGGCGTTTGAAGCACAAAACTGCCGGGACAGGTGTTTGATAGAGCTCTCGACAATCACATCTGTATCCTCTTCGCTCTCGGAGCCAGTGCCTAAACCATAAGCTTTCATTATCATAGGCAGCCCTGGGTAGCTTACAGAGTCAGTACTATCAAAATAGTGTCCCGAGCTTGAGGAAATGCAGCTTTTTCGCCTTATGTTGTTATGCTGGTTTGCAGGTTTCACTGTGATGATGAGGTTGTGGCTGTTGGCAATCATCATGTCGGTTACCTGATCCAAAATCTTCCCCATAACACTAATACCATTCACTTCCAGGACCTGGTCATTAATGGCTAGCAGTCCCGTGCAAGCCGCCAGGCCACCGGGCACTATGCGGGAGATAAAGATGCCTGGAACCTTTTCCAGACCGTAAGAAGTAACCCTGACTGTAGTACCATCACGAATGTAAAAGCCCAGAGGTCTGTCCGAGCCCTGGCGATACAGACGCACTCTTCGGTGGCATTCTGGTATGATGTCCACGTCGATGATGGAAGAAACAGGACGGAAGTTCTGTGGCATGCTGATCTGAAATGGTAGTTTTCTGTGGCTGACAGGTTTCTTTCGCTTTGTTGCATCATCAGCACCTGCGTTATCCTGATCAGCTTCCTCTGTAAAACAGTGCGGGAAGTTAGTTGAGCAAAGTTCTACAATTATTAAATCATTCTGATTATATCAAAACTTTCCGAGCACAGTTTTAATTGTGAAAAATGAATATTATAAATATGTGGAAAATTTTATGTGGAAAATATGTCGTTTCTATTACATTACATAATTTTTCTCTACTCGCTATAGTACTATAATGTTATATGTATTATTTAAATCTATTTTTGCTTTTTTTTATTATGGTAATTAAAAAAATATTTCATTATTGTAATCAAAAATTGTATTTGTTTATTTTGACTCGAGTTTAATCATTTAACTGCTAGTATTTATTTTATTTTAGCATAAAACACTATTTAACTATGGAGGACCAAGTCAGTCCAATTTAAATATAAATAAAATGTTGTAAACAAACAAACAAATGTCCAGATAAACATCCTTGAATAATCTCCCTATAAAAAAAAATATCATTATTTTTTTTTATTAAATTTAGCACTTACTTCATATATATATTTGATCTCTGATTGTTTATTCATTTCTGTATTTTGTAATTTATTTATGAGTTCTTCTTACTTTCTCTTTGTTTATGTTTATTCTTACATTAATGTATTACCATAGTTATTTCCAAATACTGACTAACTAAAAACTCTGGTAGTGATCACATGAACTAGGACGGAAAGCAAAAAGATAATCTGGCAAACAAACACACCACATGGGAATACAAAGCAATTATACTCAAGTACATGATTCCCAACTAGATAAGTTCCTTCCTTTTCTATTTCTCCTTCAAGAAGATCAAAAAGAGAACTAAATAAAATGGTCTTAAGTTCTTCTACTAATCTACTATTAAATCTACACACAGAAAATAAATCTTTAATAAGAACTAAACACAATTTATTTCTTGTTATGTGTTTGGAAAATAGTGCCCTGGCTATGTTACATTTTTATGACATTTTTGTTGTGAGGTGAGATGAATGGAACAGAGAATAAAGGAAATTAGAGATATGCATGAGCTTCTACCCTTCCTGTACCTTGTAGCTGAATGAAGATACGCAGTAAAGATTGTGTGGAGGTCACAGCTTTGCAAAAGTTGTCATCATTATTGATAGGCAACAGCTCTCCTTGAACATCCGCATAGCCGATAAGGACATCCATTTGACACAGGTGATGTAAACGCACAATGAGCCTGTGGAAGTCTTTATACCTGCCAGGCTCACAACGATCCAGGGAAAACCTCCTGAATTCTGCACCAAACTGTAGAGAGAAAAGCACATGAATGAAATTGCACGAAAATACTGTAGGTTAGTGAACATATATCTTAATTGCAGGGTTTCTCTTTTATGTTCTCCTGGACAAAATCGGTCATCAACACGGTTCATTTTTGATAGCCTACTAAGATTTGTAATCTTACAAATCTTTGTGAGCTTCAGGCAGTGAGTGACCTGGGACTGTATTCAATCAGCTGAAACAATGGACATATTTTAGAAGTGAGCCGTTTCTGGATATTGTGTAGGTTTTAATTGTTTAAGTCTTTGTTTACAAAGGTACTTCCCCTCAGTCTAATAATACTAAAACAACAGCGGCAAGATAATCATTATATCGTTATAAGGATTATGTTAATGTTAAAATCCGAGTAATTCCAAGATTAAAGAAACAGGCAATAGCCTACCTCTAAAAACAGAGAAAATACATTGCAATTTAATAACTGACATATACATGCTAGAGATCAGTTTTAATAAAAGTATTTGTCAACTTACTTTACTTTTCACCTCGAGGACCGAAACGCTGCGCAGAGACTGAGACTTTCGAAGTGCCCGGTTCATGTTGTCAGATGAGCGGTAACTACCCCACTATTCGCAAGCCACTCGGGTTTTGTTTCTAAGCTCAGCATGACAAAATAGCGTTACGTGTTCGCATCATCACTGAAAACGCGGAAAGCAGGACGGATGTCTTGGCAAAAGACAACACGAAACAACGGCATTACTGCCACTTCTATTTTCTAGTACTATACGAAATTTATGAAGAATAATAATAAAAAATTATGTATAGCCCATATGTTTCTGAATAGACTATTATATATATATATATATATATATATATATATATGAAATATGATAAATGAAAGCTTTATGATACCCTAAGATGAAATAACTGCAGATAAAAGGAACAAGAAAATATCATCTGAAAATAAAAAGAATGAAAAGACACCATACATTACAGTAGGCCTGTTGAAAAGTTTATTTTTTAATTCTTTCAAAGCATCAGGATCATTTTTTATTAAATGATCACAGTTGTGACAGATTTTGTTGAAGGGAGATATATTAATTTATCATAAGCTGTTCAATTTAACTAAAAACGTAATATTCTATATTGAATTAACATATAAAGTATCCATGTAACATTTAAAAGGAGGCTCATATGCACATCCACACAAAATCACAAAACAATCACATCTACTATACATTGTACTAACCAGTTTTTAAAATGTGATGATTACCATCTCTATTAGTAATTTTTGTTTTACTGGTTAAAAACAAAGAAGGGACAGATGGCTCTGTGATCTGGCACTATGCCTTGATTTCATCAGGGAGCTGGCCTCCAGTTAGAGCAGCCAAGGCATTGGTCACCATCCTCTCCACCATGATCTGCGACGTCTCCATGGTGTGGGTTCCTAAATGAGGGAGGACGATGACATTTGGGAAGGACAGCAGGGGATGATCCCTGTACATAACAAAGAATCATATCATTATTCTACAACAGTGATGTGTTTAATGCAGGAAAAAAATATTTTGGGGTGCAATTTTACAATCCTAAATATTTGGACTTGCGTAAGTGCAATTAGATGAAAGTGTACTAAGCAGACCTGGGCAATGGTTCAGGATACGTGACATCTAAAGCAGCAGCTCGTATCATTTTCTTCTGGAGAGCATCCACTAAAGCATCTTGGTCTACTACCAAACCTATGACAAAAAAAGTAGTTCTCAAACATACTTATTTCCTTTAATGGGATTGTTTTGTTTCAGCCTATTACATTACCTCTGCTGATGTTGATAAGGGTGCTATTGGGTTTCATCATGGCAAACTCTTTGGCACCAATCAGTTTGTGCGTTTGTGGGGACAGATTGACCACCACCATGACAAAGTCTGACCTCTGTAGCAGCTCCTTCATGCTTGCACAATACATGGCCCCAACTGCTTTTTCTTCACTCTCAGGCCTGAACATATAAAACACTGTGAAATTAAATATAAGCCAGGGGAGCAAAACTCGATTTCTGGAGGGCCATGATAGCCCTAAAGATTTTAGCTTAAACCCTAATTATACACACCTGATCCGACTAATCAAGTCCTTCAGGCTTATTTGAAAACAGGTATGTGTTTTGGAGCAAGGTGGGAACTAAACTCTGCAGGACAGTTGCCCTCCAAATATTGAGTTTTGCACCCATTATTTAAGGTAGTTGTAAAAGGAGTTCTTTCATGACAACTCTCGAAAGACTTTTAGCATGCTGATGGATATGACAATGTTAATGTATTTGGTCTTGGCTAGATCTTCTACGCTGCTGCTGCTGTTGATTATTGCTGTTGTTGTAGATTATTGGTGCTGCTGTTGCAGAGCAAGTACAGGAACTTGCTACTGCCAATACACTGCTGTTGCCATACTGCTGCTGCACAAATAGCATATATCAATTACCCATAGCAGATCTATACAGGTTGAGCTGAAGAAGGTGGAGGGTTTTAGACGAACTCTGAAAGCATGCTGCAACTGCTTTAGTGAATGATAACCAGCCATTTAAATTTTGAACAGCAAGCTGCATTACCTGCAGAGGTGACATGAACCAATTAGATTGTGCCAAGTAGTTAACGCTGTAAATATCATCAGCTTGCATTAAAACCCATCAGCCTGTGCCATCTAGAGTTTCATGACATAATTAGGCATTAGAAAGTTGGTGGCAGACGTGGCCTAATGGTTAGAGAGTCAGACCGGTTGCCAGACCAATTCGATTCTCAATACCGGCAGGAAATGACTGAGGTGCCCTTGAGCAAGGCATCGAACCCCTAATCACTGGCTGCCCACTGCTCCGGGTGTGTGTGTCCATTGCTCTCTACTCCTAATGTGTGTACACTAGCTTGGATGGGTTAAATGCAGAGGACAAATTCCGAGTATGGGTTACCATACTTGGCCTTCACATGTCCCTTAAATCAGTGTTTTTTTTAATATTTGAAAACAATGACTAACCACTTTATGTTCAAATGGACAGAAAACTGAAAGAAAAATGTGTTTACAAATTATTGAAGCAGGTAAAAAATTGTTTAGTGACAGAGATAATTATTTCAAAGTCCAACAGATTCACCTTTGATTCCTATTGTGGTAAAGGATTTTCATCTCAAACCCTTGAGCTCTCTTGGCGATTTTGTAACCTATTCTTCCCATGCCGATGATGCCCAGGGTGGCTCCACTAACATCAGTGCCCAGAGAGGACTCTGGAAAATCATCAAATTCCCGGAACTTGGAAAAATTGTGCCCTGAAGAGAAAAAGAAAATCACAATGGACTCAGTGAACAATATGATAAACCCTGAAGAAAGCATAGAACGGAAACTGCACTTCTTACCCTCAACAATGTTTCTTGCAGATGCCAACATCAAACAAATGCCAATATCTGCAGTGGCATTATCCACCACATGAGGAGTGTTGGAAACTTTGATTCCAAAGCTATTTATCAGAGGAATATCAAGGTGGTCTACTCCTACCCCACCATTAACGACAGCTTTGAGGTTGGGCAAAGACTGTAACAGGTTTTGGTCAACTTTAATAGCTCCACCCCACACAAACAGTGCCTGGATTTTAGCGGCGAAGTATTCTTTCCTCTGTACAAACCTCTCAAATGTGATAATAGTAAAGTGTTTCTCGATACAAGGTTCAAAACACTTGTAGATGCCTCCGGGTGCTCCAAGTGTGGTGGCTAATATGCACGGTTTATCCATAACCTGTGAGAAAATTAACCAGCACTAATAAATGGGCTATAACTCTATGTAAACAAAATAATAGACGAACGCATTCGTCTTTAAATGTCTTATATGAAATATTCTTTCTCACCACTTGTGTGACAGTCGATCGCAGTCTGAATGTTCCCCTGAAAGATTCTGATCGTCACGTGCAACATTGTATTTTGTATTCCAGACATGGTTAATCAAGTACCGATAAAGACCAAAGGTGATTTTCTGTAAATCATTATTAAGTACCTCCTCTTAGTCTAAAACAAATTAGACGATTGTCAAATACCTACTTAAAAATGTTTCCAAATCTTCTTTCGTGTTTCATCGGAGTTTTTAGTTGCTAGTCACTCAAATAACCAGAAGAGGGCGTTAGAAGCCAATATAACGTATTCAGTTGTGGCCCATTTCTGTCACAAGATTAAGTTAATATGTAGTTGTTTGATGGACATGTGGTTCGTGTTTTTACTTGTACACCATATTATTTCCAGATTTGATTTTCTATTAATTGTATAATTTGGTTTGGTCACAAACACTGAGTAGCCTATAAAGGACTCCTGCTTTGTTTTGTCAACATTGGTATTTTGGTTTAGCCTATAGTTCATTGTTGTGTGTTTCATCATAGTAGATTGATTAATAAGCCCACTAAAAATATCAAATCGTATCATATATATTATCAAGAACTCCCTCTCATTCACAAATTGTTAGAATGCCAGTATAGTTTCAAAACACTATAGCGATGATATTGTGCTGATGATGAGCCAAGCACGTAAGGGGTGAATTTGATAAAAGATTAAGATTTTAAGGCCATAAATTATATGTTGAAGGCTTTGATGGTACTGAGGGCCATTGCATTAATTCCAGAACAGTTAGTAGGCTATTAATGGCTGCAACAGAGTTCCAGCTTTCCTGTGGCCTCCATCTGTTGGAAAATCCATGCGTAGAGGTTCAGCATTATAAACAACCAAATATTTAAACAATGTAATTCTAGCAAGTAAGTTAATGTTTTAATTTCCACAATACAGAAATTTCTGAGTTATTGCGTATTGTCTTAAACAAAGAGCATAATAATGTATTCATTTATTTACAGGGTATTTTAGGATTGGCTGTACTATAATGATGCCTGGTGGATTAATGCTCAAACACCCTGTCCATCTTCTATATGCCACAATAAATGTCATATCTGAGTAACCTCTCATATGTGTATAGGAGTAACATATTAGTTATTGGTGATAGTGGATAAATAATACAAAGAAACTAGACGGTCATTATCCCTTTTAACATCTGACCAAGCCTTCAAGCATATGTGGATCTACTAAAGCAGATCAATCACTACCAACTTGAATTGTGTCCTTTCTTTCTAATGAAAACTACTTCCTCGAGAGTTAGCTTTGTTTGGCAATCAACCAAAAATCTTCTCTGTTCTGCTGAGCACTTCTCTTCAAAGTCTGCTTCACAATTAGCCTACATGTCGGACTCTGCCCTAGGGACAGGCATGTTTTAAAGTGATGAACTGATTCCTCTGCCAGCAGGGTGGACCATTATTTCAACATACATAGTCTACTTAAAACCCTTTTTTTAACTAAATGGGAGAAAATACCAGACAAGCTCTTGTTTTTGCAGACTTTAACAGGCTCATGTGATTTAACAAAACTAAGGGTAGGCCTACAACATTGTTCCTTTTTTTCCAAACTCAATAGACAAGAACATATAAATAGCCATCAGCTTAATAATTTCAGTGTATCCTCATGAATTCAATGATTTATGTTTTTCCCCAGTGGTTTTTTGTGGTTTAATCATTTAACCAAAACCATTACCAACTTCTTGCAGTTTGCTTTTCCTGTCTTTGGCATTTACAACTCTGGCCAAAAGTCTCTGGTGTAAGGAAATGGGCACTTGTGCTCTGATATGCCCCTGATACCTCTTGAGGTTATTTTTAACGCTGTTCCAATTAAAGAGGTCTATCTGCCCTCAGGCTCAGGATGAATGATAATGTTCATCCTGGTAGAAAGACAAAGAACAGACTTCAGCAGATATTCAGCCTCACAATCACAGGAATATCCCATCTTGCACTTTTTCCAGCAAAAAAAAAAAAAAAAGACACTTAGTTTAAAAAAAATGTCTAAAACCAAAGAGTAACGCAAGAGTATTTGCATTACTTATGATTTGTGTTACATAATCAGATTACTTTTTTCAAGTAACATGTAAAGTAACACATTATTTTTCAAATTTCCAACAACATATTTTAAATTTGCCAAAAGTAGAACTTATGTTTTGTTTTTGTTTTTGTTAAATAAAAAGCAAACAAGAAAGCCTAGCTCAGGTGAGAAAAAAGTAACGTAAAAGTAACTTCAGGTCAGGTCAGGTCAGGTTCCTTTATTTATACCCGTAGGTAAATTAAGTTCCAGAGAACAAGTTTAGGCTATTTCTCAAACATATAAACGATAACACCATACAAACAGACCAAGACACTAAAATCACACTAAAACAATCTACTCAAAAAATGAATCACTACTGGGACAAAGCTGTTTTTATATCGTTTTGTTGTACACCGCAGTACTCTAAGCCGTCGATTGGACGGCAGATACTGGAACTCATAATACAGAGGATGAAGCTGGTCACTCAAGATTGAAATACCTATGCGCTGTACCTGTCTAGTATACAGCGAGGCTGGGTTCAGTAGTGGTTCCCCAATCAATCTACTGGACCATTTCACAATCTGGTTAATAGAGTTCCCGTACCAAGATGCCAGAGAAAAGGAGAGTACGGATTCAATAAAAGCACGATAAAACATACTCAACAGTGTTTTCTCAATTTTAAATTGACACAGTTTCCTTAAAAAGAACAGACGTTGATGCCCCTTTTTACACACTATTTCACAGTTGGCTTCAAAACTCAGCTTTGAATCAATGATTGTCCCAAGGTATTTGTAAGACTACACACACTCCACTCTTTCACCCTTAATGGATGTGACTTCATGCATAGTCATTCTTTCTGAAATCAATAACCATATCCTTGGTCTTCAGTACATTTAAATGAAGGTGAGACTCCTCACACCACTCAACAAAATCATTAATAATAGGTCCATGACTATTCTCATTATTCTGAAGTACTGACAATTACAGTGTCGCCTGTGTACTTCAAAACAACACGATTTTCCAAATGACTATGGCACATATTTGTGTAAACAATAAACAGTAGTGGAGAAAGTACACATCCTTGTGGTGAACCCGTGGAGGAAGTAACCTGTGCAGAGATTGTGTTATTTATTTTCACTCTTTGTGTTCTCTCAGTTAAAAAAATCTAAAATCCATCCGACTAAATTATTGCTCAATTTGAACTGTTCTAAAAGTCTACTTACTAGGATGTGAGGTTGAATCCTATTAAATGCAGAGGAAAAATCTACAAATAGAAGCCTTGAGACCCCTTACCCTGCAAATGTTTCAAAAGCAGATGTATCAGGGTGACCATTGCATCCTCTACACCTCTTTTTGATCTATAAGCGAACTGTTATATTTCAGATCTCACAAATATTTCAGATCTCACAAATCTTTCAAAAATGTTCATTACGATAGATGTAAGAGCCACTGGTCTTAAATCATTTAATATTTTTGGACAACTAGCTTTCGGAACTGGGACAATCATTGCATCCTTTGCTACCTTAGGAACATGCTGTACTCTCAAGGACTTATTGAAAATATAATGAAATACAGGGCTCAACTCTTTTGCACAAGACTTGAGTACCCGGCCACAAATATTATCAGGTCCATAACTCTAATACTCTAACTGAAGAAAAGGCCCTTTCCACCTCTTTTTGGTCTATACAAAAATGCTGGCTATCCTCAAGCTTGTGACGCTTGTCCTGGAGTTCCTCACTAAAAACAGATGTATCAAAGCGATTATAAAAACTATTCAAGGCATTTGCACTTTCAAATTTCGAATTGTATCCATCCAGGATGATATGATTATTATGCTTTGAACTACCATACCCTAATATAGCTTTCATACTAGACCAGGCCGAACCCAATTTATTATCAGTCATCTGACTCTCTAATCTCACTTTATAATTATTTTTTGCCTTTAGGATTTCTACTTTCAACCCCCTAGTGGCTGCTTGTTTATGTAAATCAGTAAATTCATAGTTTAAAGACCCGTCTCTTATATTCTATACTGGATTTAACAGATTTGGTCATCCATGGTTTGAGTAGATTTTGACTGTCTACTAATATCATATTACAACTTAACATTACTTTCCATAAAAAGTAACTAAGTAACTTAAAATTAGTTACTTTTTAGGGAGTAACACGATATTGTAATGCATTACGTTTAAAAGTAACATAGCATAATATATAGCCTAATATATAGATAGATAGATAGATAGATAGATAGATAGATAGATAGATAGATAGATAGATAGATAGATAGATAGATAGATAGATAGATAGATAGATAGATAGATAGATAGATTTAGTTCTTTTTTCTCTAAGTTACTACTTCTGCTCTACATTATTTTTGTAACTCAGCGGTAATGTGCACATTGTTGTCTCTTTTTTTATTTGTATATTGCTTTTTTAAAAGTGTTCTTTAAATGAATTAATGTAAATATAACAGACTTGTAAAATAACAGAATGCAATGCATTACTTTTGATTTTCACAACAGTTCTCTCTGTTGTTTAATTCAGATTAATGACACTCATAACACATCAATAGGGAAAAATACCCAATCAGTTTCATCCCCATATACTGGGAATTGCTGATCAGGGTTTATTTTTAGAAATAATCCCTGGATTATCACAGAGAGGGGTTTGCTATAATCCTTAAAGACTCCTTGATTTCACCAACATTAGCATAGTACAATGCATACTCGGCGTGGGTTTCCATAACTAGCAACTGCTAATATTTATTTGGAATTTTTTTTTTTTTTTATCAAACCATGGGTTTACATGTGAATTGTAAGGAATTTAAATTTATGTTGGCTCATTATTCACCATTTTGATGCTATTGGTTAGAAATAATGTGCAACACTAAATTAAGACTTCTTACAAGCAAATTTCAACCTGTCATTCATTGCATTTTGACTCTCGACCAAGACACATGAAAGTGATTTTTGTTCAATTCTGTATATTATTTTTCATTGTTTACAAGCTAGTGACATTGCTCTAATGTTGTTTATGATCATCTGAATAACCTAAACTTCATGACAATTCTAATAACATGTAAAGGACTCTTAAAGTGTTTATTTTGTCTACACATGGAACGTGTTATGCCTTTTTAAGCATTTTTGTTTTTCTGCACCCTCTTACTCAGTAATTGGCACCTCAGTCAAAAACTAGTTCGTGATATTTATTCAAAGAGCTCAAATAAGTTAAGAAAAATGTTAAAAGCAAAGATTCGTGCACTGTTTCAAATGTACCGCTAAACGTGCTTAGTGCGACTGATAGGACGGAGCCTCCTATGAAAGACGCCACTAGGTCGCATTAACATCGGTGCCATTGAGTTCACACAATATGAGGGAGCACAGCGGCAGACAAACCCCAACTCCAGATTTTTCAAATTGGTTTGTTTGACTGTTTTGCACCCGCATAATGTAACAGCAAACGATATATTACAACCTGCGAGAATGGAAGTCAGAAGCTGGCTTTTATTTTGACTGCCAGAATGTGGTGCGGGGAGCCTTGACAATACGCCGTTCAGCTTTCAAATGGAAGATTGGCTTCTCCGACTCATTTCGGTGGATATGTTGTCGTTGTTTTTTTACATTGACCCTTTTTAATCGCCATGGATCTCTAGATTTGGATTCTTGTACCTCTTTCGTCTCTTGAACTGTGAAAAGAAGACAGGCTACGCCGATCGACCGGGACGCAAGATTCTCTGCCTACCTCGACATTTTGCTACCAGGGATTTAAATAATCACGTGCTACAACAACGAAAAGATTTTTTTTAAATAATCAGAATTGATGTGGCCATCTGACCTTTAATGAATTTAACCTGGAGGGCAAAATGAATAGGGAAAGGCCGAAGAGAAATATCATTCAAAAGAAATTTGTAAGTGCAAATTTGACATTTAATTCGTTGCGTGACCATCGAATTCAGTGGCTACTGCCTCGTAATTTGCATTAATCACATTGCTGTTGTCCCTTGTGTTATGTTATCGTCAGGTCTTCTGACAGAATTAGGTCAGATGTTATAAACGACCAGTGCATGAACCATCTTCTATTTGAATTGGAGGTTAAGGACAGACTGCCCGATGTGAATCGTAGCCTACTGTTGACCCAGATAATGCATTGGGCTTTTGAAGTGTACCTTGTTACATTTCGCATTTCCGCCGGTGTGTGTGACATGTCGCTATGTTGATTTCCACTGTCAGTTTTGTCGTAGGCTCTTCAGTCGATGTAGACGACCGTCTAGCGTCTATAGCGTGGTCAGTTTGTGGTCTTGTGCATGTGAGTGTTTGCGGTCATCGTTCTGTGTGTGTAGGTCGGTTTTTCAATGTCACAAGAACTTAGCTTGTCAAATCATGGGCAGGCAGATGCTTGTTTTGTGGTAAGGGCTGAGGTAGTTTACAGCCTGTCTCTGACCTACTATTGGTTAGATGGTGTAAGCAGACTGACCTATTTATTGCCAAGATATGTTAAAACTGTCCCTCTTATCCATTCTACGGTCACTTTATCAGATGTGTATGGCTATGTAACAAAATGCTTATTTTTACTATAATTTAATATAAATAAACAAAATGCTAACTTATTTGATTTCATATAGTTGCCAAGGCAACGCATTCTTATTTTCCTTTAGTTTAACTTGATGTATTAAAATAATTGAATGAAATATTAATAAAAAAACTAACTATATAGGCAAAAAAAATAGACAAAAACGAATAACAAAAATACCTAAACCTTAAACTAAAATTAAAATGGAAAATACTAAAATAAAACGAATTAAAAATATTAATGGAAACTGTTAATATTCAATGATGATAGTATCTCAGTGATACTAAAATAACAAGCATATTAAGCAAGCCTACTCAAGGCTATTAAATGTTAATTAGCTATAATTCATATAATTCATAGTAGTAAAATGTTCAGGTCCACATGTCATTTAGAAATAAGCATCACCATTTTATAGGTTGTATTAATTTGAACCTATTAATATTATAAATTGTAGTTTGATTTGTATTTTTAAGAATAGATGAGAAATAGTTTAGCAATTGAAGGCCTATTACTTAAATTCTTTATAAAATCTTTATGAAATCGTAAGATTTTATTCATTTACATGAATTATCACCTACAATTACACTTTTAAAATTAGCCTACCTCATATATCCTGGCTTTCCAAGACACTGGGAATCCTGGTACTTCAAAGAAAAAACGGCTGTTGAGGAGGTGAATTAAAATAAAAAATATCTTGATTTTTTGTTGCTTTGGCTTATTTTAATGCTACTTTTGCCTTGTTTTGAATAATTAACTCACCTTGAGGCCCCCTTGGAAACTTGCTGAGGCCCCCTAGTGGGCCTCGAACCCCTGGTTGGGAACCACTGATCCTTACCCTTTGAATATAACCTTATCTGGGTAACATTATAATGCATCTTGGCCAAATGAAAAATGCAGGACAAAATGGCTGCTGGACAAAATCTTGACATACATTTCTAGATTTAAAAGCACATTCAGGCAAAAAAGAAAGAAAGAAATATATACAAAAATCAGTTATTCTTTGAGGGTCATTATTTCATTCAGTTGCAGTCTGATGTCTTTGTTTACCTTGATTCTCTGATGTTTAATTGCCACATGGTTTGAAGTACAAGCTCTGAACATTTGGTTTGGTTGTATGAGGCTGGGAATGATCCGTTTAAAGATGATAGCTTCTTTGTATGGAGCTCTCTGCCTTGGCTTTAGTTGGTATTCGCTGTAATTCATTGCAATCCTGTGGATCAAATACAGCTGTCGCTTAGATGTTTAGACATGTGAAGGCACAAGCACAAACATACTTTTAACACTTCATGCTGAAATCTATCAGGGTTCAATATGAAGCTAATTCTATGAATATGCTAAAAACCTCTACTGTGTTTGAAAAAGCAAGGCTATGAATATAAATAGCCTGTTGTGCACATTGAAACTAAGAATGTTGTACATTCTTTCTTCTCTCTTGCCAAACCGGATATGGTCGGTTAGAAAATCTACACAGGGATCAAGATATTTTTGATCAGGACTGCATGAATCAGCAGCAGAGTTGATATGCCTGTATTTACACAGTAACTCCTCTGTGACAGTTCCCATTATGAGATCAGATCTCGTTCTTTATGTATAAGAATAATATTACACAATGTCATTCAGGATTAGGTGAGGTTACAACACACACTATTACTGTGGCTTATTGGAACATTACTAAAGTGTAGTGTAAATGAACAGGCTGTAGAAATTAGGAAGGCTGTAAGAAATCATGTTTCACGCTTTCTCCCAAGCACCATATGTGAAAACAAATCTATTTAATGTGACAACAGAGCAGAAATTGGCAGATATATATCACTCTGTGTTTACAGTGAGCACAGGCCGGCCTCACATGCCAGAGATGGCCATCTTAACTGGAAGCTCTTGTGTCCCACACATTTTCTTTGGCCTCAGCAGTCAGAGATATTTGATAGCTCCTTCAGACTCATCCTTGGCATCAGTTTGCTTCACACAGTAATGGAGAACTAAAGCCCATGCTACACTGATCCTGTTTAGGGCAGCGCTACATTTACAAACACTAGATAGCCTCATTCATTTCAAGTGTTCACTTAAAATGTTTTTTTATCTAAAAAATGTTGACTGTTATTGACAATTTTGAATAACTGGTTTAATGGGGCATCTTAACTGGGAAGAACAAAGCTAGGCTGTTATAGGTATTTTTGCTGTCACCACAAATTCATTTTCCTGTTATCTTGACAACAAAACTTGTTTTCTTAAAGGGTTAGTTCACCCAAAAAGGAAAATTCTGTCAGTAATTACTCACCCTCATGTTGTTCCAACCCTGTAAGACTTTCGTTCATCTTCGGAACACAAATTAAGACATTTTTGATTGAATCTGAGAGCTGTCTCACTCCTCCATAGGCTTCTATGTAATTGAAACTTGACAACCCAGAAAGTTAGTAAAGACAATATTTAAAATAGTCCAAGTGACTACAGTGGCTCAACCATAAGTTTATCAAGCGACGAGAACACTTTTTGTGTGCAAAAAAATAACGACTTTATTCAACTAGTCATTTTCTTCTGTGTGGGCCTCTGAGTGAGTTCACGTAGTGTAACAGCGCTTCTGGGTTGTACGTCAGAACGTAGGCTCATTATTGGCCGACGCTGGTCATGTGTGTGATGCGTGTGGTGCTGGCCAATAGTGAGCCTACGTTCTGATGTTCAATGTATGATTGCTAGGGGTGTAGTAATAGTCAAACTGAACCACAGAACCGCGATACACCACCCACGGTACGTATCGCAATACTCTCATGGCGTACCGAAGGCGTCCCGCCCCCCTGCTGAGGTACGTACTGAACCGTCAGCTTTGTGTACCGTTACACTCCTAATGATTGCTAATGTGGTTTGAAATATAGGGCCTAAGGGAATACTTAGTCACATTTTATACTGTTCATTTTACTGTGTATTTACATAAGTAATGAATAATACTAATGGACTACATGAACTTTCTGTGTAATTATTTTGTAGATCTGATTGTTATTAATTATAGCAACATGCATTATGTGAAATGCTGACACTGTAAAATAGAGTGTTAAATAAGGTTGAATTGGTAATCCAACATAGTAGCAAAATAATTGACATGCGGTTGGATGTTATTTATTTTATGTACTGCTAAATGTGGTGACTCATTTGTTCACTTAGAAGTGAATGTTTTTATGAATTTAAAGACTCAGGAGACAATGACACACACACACACACACACACACACAGCATATTAGACATCATGTGACACTGAAGACTGAAATAATGGCTAAATTAATAATCACATATGTTAAATATTATTATAACATATTACATATAATTAAATAAATATGACATTATTATTAAATGTATGTATTTAATAATAATAATTTGAATTTAATGATTAATTTTATGAGACACATCCATCTTTAATGTCAATACTGTTAATCCACTGGATAATATTCAGCTGTGATGAGTTGATAAATGAGCAAAGGAAATTATTAATATCACTTGTGTCGTCTACTACTGTACAGCCTCATTGCATTTTATCTGTGTAATGAAATTTTGTGGCTGTGTTACAACTCTCAAATAAAACAAAGGATGATGTAAAAACCGCAGGAAGCTTGTAATGGCTGCTTCATCCCTCCGTCTCAGACATGTCCAGCTGTGCACTAATTGATGCAGTCATCCCAAACTCCAAGGAGACATATTGTATCAGAATGGGCTTGCTGAACTGGGTACAATTATTGCTGCAATGTTATTATCAGGAGATGTTTTTATCAAGAAAAGTGTCTGGCTTTTGTCTATTGATTTTAATGTCTGTTTAATTTGTTTTCATCAGAGATAATACTATAGATGTCATAAATAGCAATTAGATGTAGCCTATTTAAAGGCTTAAGCAAAATTTTGATGAGCAAATATTGCCACGTTTAGTTTATTGAAACGTGGGTGAGAAGGTGACTCCACTGTCTGTTGTCTCTTGAGACTTCATACCGCTGTCATGCATGGTAGTAGCTCATTGAGTTTAATTCATCCCAGTACAAGCATATTGTTTAACACTGCTCATGTCTATGGAAAGAGAGGGAGGGAAGTGCATATGGTGAAGCGGCCAGGTTTGCCACTGGTATTCTCCTGTTGTCATGGCAGGAGAGGGAATTGTCATTGGGTGGGTCTTTGCTTCCTTGGCTCCGTCTGCAGCAATCTGTCTTCACAGCTAGGTGAATGTGTAGAGGGTGCTGTCACTGGAAAAACAGTGTCCTTGATAAGCAAACCTCTAACGAAGCGACGCTTATGGGAACTCCCCTGTGCATTGAGTCCTTTGTGTTTGTACAATCAGTGAAGATTTTGTGGCACAGCGCTGAA